CAACAAAATTGAGTTGCGCGGCTAAAGCAGTGGTCGAAAAAGAGGCCTTTTTATTGACCGGGAGGCACATACAGCGCTTGTTCCCCAGGCTCAGCCAACAATGCATTGGCCCCCTTGTTGGCAAAGTTTCGATTAGCTTTTCACACATTCTGTCCGACAATCGGATCCGTCTTCAGCTCGCGGCATGGGTCGCAGGTAGAAATAAAGGAATGCTTTCAATTGCTGCATATTGAACTTTTAACTTTGACTACGAGGACTTCATCCCTAAAATCAGTGCATCTACGGAGGTGGTTGAACGCCCATGTCGTCTTTAAATGTTCACCCAGCTTGTAATCGAGATCGAACAATAAGTTATTTATCGTTTTTTTCTGGTTTTTCTCGTTAAGTGAACACGATGGTTGGTGATAAGTGCAGTCTAAATAAACCCCAGCCTGGTTTATCTTGTTTTATTCGTAAAATGAGCCACAAAAATGGGTCATCTCTCAGACGGGTCTTTGAAAGCTGCCCTTGTATGCACTAATGTGCGGTCAACCTCCTAAGGGTCGCAGTAAAAGCTGTTAAAGTATGCCCTCTTCTCCTGGACTGCATGAAGTCCAACATCAACTGACCCCGGCTTGTCTACATCCGTTTATAGCGAACTAACTGCATTTTCATTGGTTACTAGTATATAAACAGCTCCACTCCACTAAATGTGATTGTTTTTGACCATAAATCTGCAAATCAATATGGCTACCATAGTTAGGTTTTTTATGTTGAAATGGTGTAAACTTATTGACCTGCCTTTACGAACCATAATCCTAAACTGACGGAGTGAGAAGTGCCCAACATGGTTGCAGAAATGGAGAAAAAGAGGGGAGGTCATTGAGAAATCAGTTTAAATTTTACCGTCTTCATAAAATGCATTTTTGCAGGAAAATGACACAATCTCAGATATTCGGATCGGTTGAAGATCTTTGGCAGTTCAAATAAGAAGGATTTTGTAAAAGAACGCATAAACATTGAAAAGGTTTACACCGGCGGTGTAACAGTGATTTTCTTTCTGTGAAAGGACTTTTGGCATGATCTGTCTGAAGGTTTTGATAGCCTGGGCTTGGATTTTAGGAATTTTAGACATTTCGCTCGAAAATATAGGAAATATGGGTAAAACGACTCGTACAGCAGCCCGTGGTTTAATTAAAGAAAGTAAGAGGTATCTGGAGAGTGGTAGCTTGGACTGACGAAACAGCTAACAGACTTCTGACTTGAATGCAGGGGCGATAGAATCAGAGAGGAATTTTTTTTAATTTTCTTAGGAAATAAGACTAGTCGAGCTTTTGGTTACGATGTGCATCAATCTTGAGAGTTGCTTGTTAGAGTTACTGACTCCGAGACCTCGACATTAGAAAACCGTCTGGGATGTTTGTTCCCTCCAAACTTACATAGTAGAGTGATTTTTGAAGCATGACGTCCCCGCCTTTTTTCATGTCTCACAATCACACCATAAGATTATGGGAGCTTTAAACTCCTCGACCCTCTGCATAAAATTAAGACATTTCCTTCATATCAATTCTGATCGAAAAACAGATCCTTCAACCGCCTTCCCTGGCTGGTCTTGCGCTTATAACACTTTTGTAGAAAACAGAGTAATTGGTCGAGCCAGGTTAAAAATATTTCAAAGGCCAAATTCGTGTCTGCCCTTTTCCTAATATTTACAGTCTTGCATCCGCCCTGTGCGGTTGGCAAAATTAGTATGGTCTTGACAAATTTTCAGACTGCGAGGTATTGGTATAAGTTACGGAAGTTTTGATAAAGCCCACCTCTGAAGATGTCCATTATTATATTGCATAAACGCCCCTTTTTGTCTCTGTAATCAGATTTCAGCCACAGGAAATCACTGGTTATTGTAATGTAGACAAAGTGGTCAGTTTGAATAAAACAACGAGAACGTCCTTCTTTTCTGAATCGCTCTATATTCTCTAATCTTAAGCGGCATGCATTTGCTGTTAACCTTCTCTGCGTGTGCAAAGTCTACTGCTGACTTCGGTTATTTGTGTTAGATTCCTGGTCCTTTATTCTGCTGGCACCTTAGTCTACACGAAACGAAATCAAAGTTACTTCGATTTCGCGCACACGAAGGCGGTAATCATCTCCTTACGACATCAGAATGGAAGGCTGAGACTACTTTCCTTGTCGAACTTTGGAGAACTTTTACGAAGATTCTATATCACATATTTGATGTTTTAGATAAGTAATTCGTTTTTTTCCTAATTTCTTTCCATCTAAATTGTATAAATATTCGTTTTTACTATGAAACGACTTTTGGTCCGTCGACTGGACCTTATTGTTGATTCTGTCTCGTAAACATCTTCTCCGGTCCATTTCCCCCGGTGCAGCATGCATATGATTAGTCCTGCCCAAAGTCACAGATGTCCATAAAGCCAGACCTCAGTTGTTACCGCAGATGCTTTGATAAAATGCAAGACTAATCGAACAAAGTTCTCCCTCAGGCGGGTTATTGAGAGAGGAGGTAATCAGGCTGCTGCCTTGGCCAGAAGGAGTGAGGTCTAATACTCATTTACGAATTACGGGGAAAGTCCGTGAGTTCGAGGGGACTAGCCAGTCCTCACGGTTTGCCAACAATAGTCGCTTAGGTGAAGCTGCGATTTTATGCATGGCTAAAGGTTTTTCTGTGTTCCAATGGATCTAAAAACAGTGACAACCCGCAACGTTGTTCTATCTTCTGTATTTGGCCGTCTACCATTTAAAAGTGTATACTTTGGCAGACATGAAGACGATAAAGATGAATATAGGTGATTGTTCTACGGAGTTGGACGTGAACATTTGGTCGAAAAATGAGTCCACTTAACGAGATACTTATTTATGTGTGCACGCGTTTTGACAGGAACGATAGTGTGTTCACCGTTGTTGGTGTGAAACCCCACCGCTCCGGTCGTGACATGTGTGCAAATCGATTCATAGTCGGGGGACTTTTGAAGCGCCTACCTCATTCATTCCCTCTCATCCCCGCACTCACACCTCACATGTCAATAGTAGGCAAACGAAGTTATGATCGCAGACGGGCATGTGTGCATTGGATGGGGCGATAAAATCGACGTGTATGTTTGCCACCTATGCGCCCAGCCCTATCAGCACGCTACCCAGTATTCAAGAAGGACGCATCTGCGCATTAAAGAAGTCTGAAATGGAACCTTATCCTCACCCTGAAAACAAAGGGGCTGAGTGCTTGGGCTAGAGTTTGGTCTTGGCGGCTGGGTACGTACGCGCAATAGCGGACTTCGCGCCGAAGAACTTCTGCAACGTCGTCTGAGCTCTGTTATTGGGGGCACGTATCCAAATTCATATCTCTCATTAAAGTCGACTGCATGAAGTCGTGTTTAGAGCCATTACAGTTCAACAATCTGTCTGGAAGATCAGTTTACTTCTTCAGGTAGCAACCCCCAAAGCCGCAATCTTTAACGCCTCCTGGTAGTTTGAAATGAGGAAACACTAACGTATACCGACTCAGCAGGTATGTCACACACACCAGTCAAATGACCTTTTTCAAACATTGCAAAGACTTCCTTTTTGCAGATTTACAAAACAGGTCATAAATTCTTTAGCTCATATTGGAAAAACGTCTTGCCTATCTTGCATCTCCTGTTTAATTCACCCTGCCTAACTTGTTTGCTTCACTGTGAGCCTTAACAAAGTCACGTCTACAAAATGCTCTCGATACTTTTAAAGTGCTTTTATGTCTGGCAAACGATCTTTTTCCTTCCAAATTCCCTTATTTCGGGTGAAACCATCATCTACAGGTCATGCATTCGTGGGTTAAGTATAGTTGGGATTCCCAGCACGAATATACGATTAGCTTTTGCCGTGTCAGCAAATACTATACCTTGTTCATACAAAATTAATTTTATAAAGTAGCTTGCATATATGACCATTTCCCTCGTGAGTGCTACCCACATCAGTAGTCGGAAGGTGTCTCAACGGCGAGCTAGCCTTCGATCCTACATACAGCAATTCCATTCCTCAATTGTTCCTATTAAGAGCTCCCTCATTGACGTAGTCACTGCTCTCTCAATGGCGAAGTGTAATTTCCGAATGTTTGCCTTTTTCTGTGGCGTCCCCTCCTTCTCTTCTGCACTCAAGGACAAGCCCAAACGCTCAATTCAAATATCAACATCTCGGTCCCAGCAACGTCGCGCCGCCCGACCTGGACGCCCAGAACCACTACTTCTCGAAATAGTTATCCCCCTCCCTCCCCCCCCTCCCCTAGAAGAAGAACCCTCCATTGGTCCTTCGAAGCTTGTACATCTGCCTAAAAAGCTTTCCGAGCAGCCGCCGGTTAAGCCCTCCGAGGCTGACCCTGGAATTGTGGCAGAGATGGGGTGCTCACCGATCGCGTTACGGAACTCACTCATCCCGTTGTGTCCTAGGGCCATCACTCGAGCCCCACCAGAATAGCATTGTCGGCAAAAATAAGGGAAGCTGGAGTGGCCACCTCTGGCTTACTAGCGTCATCAACCAGCGACATCCAACCCCGAAGTCTCCAACTCCCGAAGTTCGAACTGGCAACCTGTTGGCTAGAAGTCCAATGCCCTAATCATCGACCCACGTGTTCGTTGTCCTATCGATTGCGATCGAGTATATTAACAATGGCGGAGGGGGGCGCGCACTGATTGCGAAACTGATCTCATCGAATACAAGGAGCCAGATCCGGTCACTTCGTGTGCGATGGAGTGTGTTATAAATCTGCTCACTGATACTAGCGGTCCAACTCTCTGACAGTTGTGCGGTTGCGCCATTTTGCTCCTTAACCTCTTTTTCGCTTGGCTTCCGCGTATAACGGCCCATTCAGGCTTGTAAGCGTCCCTGTAAGCATATACTTGTAAAAAGGCATCAACTTCTCACAAGCGTCGAGCCAAGTACGAAAAAAGGAACTCATTAACAGTTATAAATATATTAAAATTGGACAGGACGCAGGTGTCCGCATTGACATCCTTTGGGACGGTTGATCAGTGCTGGTGTGTCCGACAGCTGGAACCTCCCAACTCTCCCGACTCCATTAACTTGATTGCTTTGAACAGCCGGTGCTCTAGAAAGACGTAGTTCTGAAGGCGTCTTATAAGCCAGTAAAATGGTATCAGGATGCAAACGTAGCAGACGTAGAACCATTTTGCCTGATAAAGGAAGGAGGATTCGAATCTGTGCGAGAGGGAGCTGAGTTAAGGCTGACTTTGTTGCTGACTTCTAAGCACTAGCTCGTTAGGAAGGGAATCATCAATGGGGGGAAATGTTTTTGCCCATTTAAAAGGCAAATATCGACTCAAAAACTCCACTGAAATTAACAAAGTGGCGAAAAGCAGATACCGGCGCAACTCAATACTCCAGCGTTTTGATAATTTTGATTTGCAGCCTGAAAATTTGTTCTGGCGGGCAAGTCTACCGTCGGTGGATGGGCTCAGCGTTCTCCAAATGTCAGAGCGAGGGTTACAATGCTTCTAGACGACGACAAAGACGACGACCACATGTCGTGATTGGGAAAAAACTCTAAATAACAGTGCAAGGAACGTCCTTCGGTTCAGCAAGATATTCTTACGAGCCGAGGCTCGGTTATTGGCATCTTGCCAGGTTTGGTCCATGATACGCTCATTGCTGCTTGACTGCCTACTTCCTTGTCAACTTGAGCAACTTGAAAAAAACTGCTGGCAACCACCTTTCGCGTATCAGCTGTCCACGGTCTTGGATGACGAAAAATATGAGGGTTAGGTGTCAAAATAGGCCTGATGCAGTGCACGGCGGCATGCGTCTGACGTGAGTACGCGACGAAATATCAGTAAATTACAGGAATCGTTTGCTAGTACTAGGGTCACTTTTCTCGCCAGGATATCGCATGGTTGCAAAATATGCTGCGAACTGGGACTCGTCCGTGAAGCCACGGATATCAAGACAACGCGAAAAAGTGCCAAGCAAAAATTTCTGAGGTACAGTACGTGGCCGATCTCATGAAATGGTCGAAATTCATAAATGCGTTTTCGATTGGAAAGGATTTCTTAGGTGGGGTTGTAATATTGCTTAGCATGCGGCATAATCCTATAATATTTTGAGGTCGTCGGGATGTCAGCTTTTGAATGCACTTCTTTTTGACGACCTACAGAAGCCACGCTTGGTTAAAAGTGGCTACTTATATGGCATGCTTTTTACATACTGATTTTCGATTTCCTCATAAATTCAAATATATTTTTAAAAAACATGCACAAAAAAATGTTTTCTAATGGTAGGGAGCGCTCACCGATCGTTCGGTTGTACCTTATAGGCTCTCTCTCGAGCCCAACCAGCAGCCGCACAGCGGTGCATGATATAGGCAGAATGGCATTACCGACAAAGACAAGGGAGACTGGAATGGCCATTTCTGGCTTATTAGCCGTTGTCAGCCAGCCATACCCAACCCCGAAGTGTGCAACACCCGAGGCTCGAACACGCGACCTGTTATTTAGAAGTCCACGCCTCTAACCATTCTGCCTATATCATGCGTCTCTGTGCGGCTGCTGGTTGAGCTCGAGACAGAGCCTATAAGGCACAACGGAACGAGTGAGTTCCGCAGGAACGATCGGTGAGCGCCCCCCTACCATTGTGTATTCTCGATCGAAAAGCGACAAGGCAACGGGCTCCTGGCCCAGCGGTTAGAGGCGTAGACTTCTAAATAAGTGGTCGTGAGTTCGATCCTCGGGTGTTGCACACCTTGGGGCTGGGTATGGCTGGCTGACAACGGCTAATAAGCCAGAAATGGCCATTCCAGTCTCCCTTGTCTTTGTCGGTAATGCCATTCTGCCAATATGCTTTCTTTTATTCCTGTGGTATAAAATCATATTTTCTTCATATTTTATACTCGAAGAAAGTGTATAGTTAGGTTTTAAAAAAGCTTCGCAATTCTTGAATAATTTTCAGCCTGATCTGCCCTTTCATCAGCTTCTAGCGACCTTAGTCTGCAAGACGCATGCTTTCTGCGTAAGAAAAATCATACATTTCTCTATGTTTTTAAGAGGATATCACATTGAGTTCATAAAATATTGCAGTGGATCCGGACTGTGTTGCATATTTCCTGAGCATTGGCAAACGGGCATGTGCGATGCTGTATGTATCGACATCGTACGGTCTTAAAAACCTCATAATTAGAAACATTTTAAGGCCGAAAGATAAACTTTATTTGGGTACAAAATGCAAAAACAATGTGCTTTTCTACCAAACGAGTAAAAGAAAGCCTATTTTGTGCATGTTTTCTATAAAATATGGTTAAATTTTTCAGATTGTCAAAAATCAATGTGAAAAATGCATGCTATATAAGTAGCCCTTTTTAACCAAGCGTAGTTTCTGCAGGGCGTCAAAAAGAAATGCATTCGAAAGCTGACATCCTGAAGATTATGCTGCATGATAATCAATATTACAACCCCACCTGAGAAATCCTTCCCGTTCGAAAACACGTTTCAGAATTTCTACCAACATTTCATGAGATCGGTCCCTCACTGGATGTAAAAACAAAGCGAAAAAGTGTCAGGCAGAAATTTCTGAGGTACGTGGGCCAGACTTCCAAAAAAATGACACGTGCGTATAATTGGGTCTCATCCACTGAGGGGGACCGACTATTGGCCAGAGAGTTCGTCCTGCTCGTCCCAGAGCGCATCTTTGTCGACTTCGTGACTCACATCTTAACAGACCGCAACAACGAAAATCGTTCTTCAGTTTGTTTCAGTTGCATTCTTTGGTCGCAGAAAACAACCAGCTTAAGGGGACTCTGTACTAAAGTGCCCAAGTTCTGAGTGTGCAACCCGAATCCGCAAAAGGTTTTTGCGGGATGTAAACTGGCCGTTAACAGTTGGTACTTACAAAATAAGGGCAGTGAGTCCTGTTGTTTAACGGTAATTGCAAAACTTTAGCTGAAAACAGCGAATTCATAGGAGTGAATTCGTGTTGTATACGACGTGAGTTGGTCATTAATGAATGGCTTGAGGTGATTTAATAACCGTCGGTACGGAGGACAAACGCTGAATTGCTGAAGCAAAGATGACTGATGTTAACTTAGCGGATAGTGCTCTCCCTCCTAACTCAAAAGTGTTGCTGTGCGGGGCTCCCGTGCTGTAGGTGGGGGACGTTTCCCCTAATCCAGACCGAGTCCCGAAGTCAAAGACTGTGAAAGATATGGACAGTTATCGGTTTGGCAGATATCTTCAAGATATCGAGCAAGGCGACCGACTTTCCATTGCCACGACCCTGCCATACTCGGTGCGATACCGAAGGTTTTTGTTTTCTGCATAAAGGCCTTCCCGACACCAAACTCTAGATCTCGATCTGTACTTGTCTCCATTCCCGATGCATTTGTTTGCTTGAGAAATAACTGAACTTCACAAGCACCAGGAGCCAAAAGCCCCACTTCTGAACTTGCTTTCCAAACGAAGGGTAAGACGCGAAACCGTGAAGAAGAGTGCTGACCAAAGGTTGCGTTGTGCCTGCGCAAACGCAGTCCGTGCAGCATCCTTACGGCTATTGACTGAGCGTTCTAGGCGTCTGCGAAGCCGGGATACGTTTGACCACCACCAGGAAGCGACTACTGTTTCTGTAGACTTTTAGGATCGAGGTCAGAGTCATGAGGTTGACGTGTCTAGTCTCAGTCTAAGTGCAGGACTTATCCTGCCGATTTCAGAGCACAACCGGCAAACCAGTCGTTCTTCTCCTGGATCATGGTGAAGCCAGAGAGATTGATTTTTTGCAAATCCCATGAACCTTCGACGCTGACCGTTTCTAATTCAACCTTTTGTGGAGGCAGCAAAAAGTTCCAAGAGGCTTCCAGATGCTTCACTCGCAGTCCATCAACCTTCGGCGCCTCCACAATACAGCCCCGCCAATCAACTCGACGGCGGTAGTCGAATTATCTAAGCAGCTTATCTCTGTGATTGAATGCAAACTGGTGTTCATGCAATCTTGTGCCGAGGCGTTTGCCCGTCTCACCGACATACCTTGAGTCACAATTTTGGCATGCTATGCTGTAGACCATCACAGATTGTTCTGTCATTGTTGGCGAGTCTTTTGGTCTCCTCTCCTGCAGCAGGCTGGCCGCCTCGTGGTGAAGACGCTGTGCATTTTGTTGGAAAACAAAGTGTGGTTAACAGGCGTTCTACCAGCAAATGGGAAGGTATCTGTGGCAAGTAGACGGGGGAGAAAGAAAAGTCTTGCACCGCCAAACTTTCTTCCAAAACTTCGTCCTCTAAATCAGCTTTCCAAAAAACAAACAGGCTCGAAATGGTTCGATGTGCGTGAGAGGCCTCGGATAGAGCAAGTTTTTTTTCAGATAAACATATCAGTATTAAAAGCGGAACGGATCAAGGCCATATCATGGCGGGAGAAAATTGGAGGCCATAATTGACGTAAATATCTCCCACAAATGCGGACAACATCTGTTTACTCAAACGGTTCAGCGCACGCGATACTGTTATCTTTAGCCGCATAGGAGTGCCGCTTTCCAAACTCACGAAAGCCAGCGTACAAACAAGGTATATAACAGGAAGTAAATCGCATGGTTCAAAAGGATACTCCAGGAGCTGAGAAGGGAGGCTCATCCTCAAACGGATGTTCACCGGCGTTTTCGGCGTCTCCAACCTGCCATGTGCAAACGAGAAGATATTGCCCAGCTGAAGTGTGACTGAGCAAAAAGAAAAAGAAGGCCTAAAAGTCTTTTTTTTCATTTAAACTTGAGAAAAAATAAGATGATCCAAAAACCCAAACAGTGAGAGTAGAGGAGGGAGGGATTTTCAACTGAATCAAAATTTTCGACATTCCTCTTTCTTTACTTTTCTGCGTTCTGCTTTTTTGGCAGACGTCAGACTTTTGAAGAAAACTTATTATTAGGCGATAACGATAAAACCGTGGAACTTCTGTCAAGACCTGTTGGAAGGACGTGCTCCAAGACTTCCAAGGAGATGGATGTGACAAAAGCAGGAATGAAAAGAAGAAGAGGAGGAGGAGGAGGAGGAGGAGGAGGAGGAGGAGGAGGAGGAGGAGGAGGAGGAAAAGGAGGAGGAGGAGGAGGGCAATGTGACAGGTTGCGCTACTCTGTTGACAAGGAATGTGCACTCTTCTCTTTTATACACCTGGGACGTACTTATTGGACGTAGTTGAGGAAGGCTGCTATTCGCTCTAATGTGGACGCTTCGCGGACACTTTGCGTCAAAATGGCTGGCTCCATTTCCATCCACTCTCGGTTCCCCTTTAACCTTCATGCATGAAATCACTATTTCCGGCGCATTTCCCAGCATCAGGCCGTCATCCTGACATCTGAGATTTTAGCTTCGGCTAGATCGCAGTTGGTAGCCAGGCCCCGCATTACAGGGGGCTGGGGGGTTGTTTACTGGAGCCATTTTGTCAGGTTCCATAATCACATGTGACCCATTTGTCTTCCGTTTTACGGTTGAGGTTAGGATTAGGGTACCAGTTAATAGTTTCCTATTTTCGGGTTAGGGTTATGCATTTAGGCTTCGGTTTTCGGGTTACGGTTAGGGTTTGAGCGTACGATTAGATTTCAATATCACGGTTAGGCTTTCCAGTTACGCCTATGCCTAAGGGCTACAGTTACGTTTACGATTTCGGTTAGGGTTAGGGTTAAGGTTGCCGTTAGGGTTAACGGTTAACGTTTAATGTTGGGGCTAGGGTTAGGGTTAAGGTTAGGATTAGGGTTAGGTCGCCGTCCGCTTCCCATTCCTGGCTACCAACTGCGATCTAGCCTCAGCTTCTGTTCAGTTGATCACTGATCATTTTCAAATCAAACACTTCGCTACAGAATTCACAGCTTGGTGCCTTTCTTGGCTGAGATCGAGAATATTAGAACTTACAAGATGCTCCGTTTGCTGATGCATCCCACTTGACCTCAACCTAAAATAACGAGCTATTTTATCGTTTTTCGTCAAATTTAGCAGAAATTAAATCAGCTACCAGTCTTAGCAAGCCTGCTGTTGCTTAAACTATGCCAGGGTCTCCATACAACTTCCAACAGCCAACTTCGCTCACTACAAGCCATTGCGTTGCTTCTATTGCTGTTCTTGCAGAACATTATCTCGTGCTGCATGAGCCAGTGAGTTGCAGAAAAATATAAGACCTAGGGGACCCGAGAAGACAGCATTTTTGACACCACTTATGCAATGGTTCTTTCGGCGTCTGACTGTTTACCCGGAAAATTGTATGTTTGAAAGTATTGTTGCTTTTTTTAATCTCCTCAGAAATTAACAGCGAAGTTGGAGTAGATCAGTATATTCTAGGGTTATAGGCTCAGACCGAAGTTTTTATGTATAGATATCTGGACCGAAGCCCATCAGCCACTGATGAGTCGAACCCCTTTCAGCTGTGCCATGCAACGGCATAATATCAGCGAAACCCGCGTGTATAGGCTTTTGGCTGTTAGCTGTGCTGTTAGTATAGAATTCCCTTACCCTAAATTATGTTCATTTTACAATTTAGAAATGTGCGCTTTAATATGAGGTGACATGAAAAATTTCAATATCTAGATACTTTTGAAAATTACCCATCTTTGCTTAAACATAAGACTTTTGATGCCTCAGGCGTTCACACTTAGTGTTAAGCGTCTCATTGTGCCTTAGGTCAGAGTACCGAGCGTTTGTATCGATTTTGCCCGAAAGCAACTGAAGTTAGCTTCGCCAATCTAAGACATTACCAGTTTTGGCAAGCCGGTTGTCGGCAAAATATGCTTTAGCCTTTAAAAAACATTTAATCACCAACTTCAATTAGGACAGATCTTGGCGTTGCGAAATACTATTTCAACCCAGTATGAGCATTTCCTGGCTATGTATTACTCCTTCATATCCGTAACCTTTCTCTCCGTAGAGTGACTATAATTACGTGAAAATATCTGAGGCTTATTGTGGCTTTTTAATTTCCTCAGAAATTAATTGCTAACTTGCTTATGGGCTCAGACTGAAATTCGACATGAATATTTGGGCCGAAGTCCACCGGCCACAACAGAATAACCGCGAAGTATTCATAAACCACCAACAGGCATAATTAGCACAGGTACCAGCTAAAAGCCCAGACATGTGTTTCGCCGATATTCTGCCGCTGCATGAAACGGCTGCGAAGAGTTCGTCACATCAGAGGACCCCCAAGCACTTCGCGTGTCGTTTGTGATAGATACACCAGTTTTTTATTTTCAGCCTTTTCGTATTGACCCAACCGTGAAAAACTTGGCGCCTCGGTGGGATTCGAACGCAAGAAGTAAGAGGATGACTTTAGTACAGCCAACGCTCTAACCATTTGAGCTACGAAACCCCGCCGGACCACGCGGGTTTAATCACATTTGGGTCAATTTACCCGCCCAACCTACTGCAACGTCTGGAATCCACCAAATCTGATACAGTAATTTGACTGCCCAAGCAGGATTTCCTAAGTAATTCACATAGAATCCACCAGATGACTACCAGGCTTACGTAATTCATAGGTATTTTGGCAGATTTTGAATAATTCATATTGACCCAACTGTGAAGAACTCGGCGCCTCGGTGGGATTCGAACCCAAACAGTAAGAGGATGGCTTTAATACAGTCAACGATCTAACCATTTGAGCTGCGAGGCCCCGCCGGACGACGCGATTTTAATAACATGTGGGACAAGTTACCAGCCCAAACTACTGCAACGTCTGGAATCTACCAAATCTGCTTTTTACTTTTTTTAAAAGTTAATCAATAACCCGGAGTTAATCCCCTAGAATCAAGCCTTACAGGCTCATTCCGAAAGTCTATGTGAATACTTCAACCGGAATTCATCCTCATCAGTGGGATTACCGCGTAATATTAAGGTACTACCGACCGACAGCCAGTAGTATACATATCCTCGACTAAAACGGGCCACATGGTAACTGCGCTGCGTCAACACAGGGGGGCTAGATCGGAGTCCGGCAGAGGCCATCGTGAATGCACACCCATAGCAAATGCCAACAATACGGCTGTGACGGCAAGCCTTCTTATACGGGCACGCCGTGCCAACTGGTATACCTGGTCAGTTTACGTTGTGGACCAGAGGCTGTGGTGGTACGCCTAGGTGGGGCTTACGCCGTGCCAGCCAACTGCGCTCTCTCGCTCTCGCCTCCGGTTCTTTTGACTCTTTCTCGACACTGAGATCAGGTGGGGGGAGTGTGTAGTAGATGTGGCGCAAACCACCCTTCCTGTTCACACCTCATGCGGGGCACATGGTGAACGCCGACGGTCAAGACGGTCGAACTGTCAGTATATATGTGCTGCATGATATGCCCTGCCGATAACAGAGGTGCTGGTTAAAAACCGAGAAACGTGTTTCCGCCACTGCGTGAGGCATCTGCGAGGACTTGACCCACCAGTGATCTCCCCAGCGTTTCCTGTTTGCTTTCTGATAGGTACACCATTTTTCCATTTTCGCTCTTAGTATGGCAAACCATGCCGCCTGTGTATAGTACTGACGCCTGTCCAATAAGGAAAGGCCACGAGTTCCTGGTGGCAATGCACTCAGATGAGGCAAGCATAAATCGGCATAGTGATCTAAAGGCCACATACAAATTTCTCAAGGCCAAATGGAAACGAGCGCAGCCAATGCCGAGGGGATGACGAGCAACCATTGACGCGCATTGGCGCAGGCCTCGGCCATCCAGAGAATCACTTGCTCGAAACGCTTAAATAGTTAACCGTTTTCCAGCACTGCTGCCTGCGTGTTGGTAGTCCATGGAGATCACACTGATGTTCCTCTAAAACTGATGGATTTCGGCTCAAATGCGCAAATCAACTTTCGGATTGAACCTATAGGGCTTCTTTTCGAGTGACTTACTTCAAGTTAGCATATTGATTCCTGGGGAAATTAAAAACCTAACTGTTTTCTTGATGTCAGACGATGTGAAAGAGGGAGGGAGATGCCATATTTATGTCTTTTGTGGTGTATTTTTATATCGGAGAAATAATAAAATTAAAAAGGAGATGGGCTCACCAATCAAAAAAGTCGTGCCATTTTGCAGGCAGATTTTTCTTTAACATGAAAAAGAACAGAGCAAACGATTACCGTTTCGTTGAGCATAGTCCGCAAGGATCTCTGTGAGGTCAGTTTTGTCGAAATTTCGAGGCAACCGTGAGGGCAAGAGGTGTGACTATAACATCAAAAGATATGTTGGTATTCGGCTTTCGAAAGTTTACTTGCACATACTGCTTAAAAGAGACAAACTTATGAAAGTTCGGCGCCAAAACTGATAATTCTCGCCTCTGGGTACGCTTTTCTAACATGTCTAAAAAACCTAATGCAGACAGTGGTTGTTTGATTTTAAAATTATCCCTGTTGGTTCAGCAGTACTAATGGAGATGTTGAAAGAAGTCGCCGAATCAAATTTCTAACCGTCTGAAGTGTCGGATAATTGTATCTATTACTGACCACTTCAGACAGTCAAAACGCGACAAAAATAGCCCTGAGATTTTCAGCGTGGCTGCGCTTGGTTGGCCGACTTCCGGTACAGTTTTTTTACTGACTGCCGAGGTTACCAATGCGTCTGAACGGACTGACGTATTGCAGTAAACACCAAAACTCCTAAGGCATTGATTGAAGTTTTTAGATGTGCTTTCAAACAGAAAAGTTCACGTAATGAGATCAGAGTACCAAGTAATATTCTCAGCCACCTGCGGAAATTACAATCGCGAAAAACATCCCGATTTGACTGCTTCACACGTTTCCCTTCGAACCTCGTCACATTTTTGCATTTCTCCACATTTCCTCTAAAAACCCGCAAACACTTCGTTTGATGCGCTGGATTTGTAGAGAATTTTTTATTCTTTTGTATTTTACCTCTAATAAAAGGAATGTAGTTTGTTCTTTAAAGAGATTTATCACTGCCCGTTTGATAGCGCTGTTTTCAAAGTACATAGTGTAATCTCGTGTATATTTCAAGGCGTTATGAACATCAGAGTGCCCAAATTGCTCTGAAACAAAACTGTCAATTATTGGACATCAGAAGACTGGAAGGGAAAGTAATTTGGCCACTTAAAGCACGTGCGGAAATGTGGGCTAAGTTAAAAAAAATCACCAAACAGATTGCTTAAAAGGGACATTTAAACTGGAACACTTGCCTCCGTAAATGACATGGTACCGACAATGACAAGGGAGACCGGAATGGCCATTCCTGGCTTATTAGCCTCCCTTCTGGGACATGCGATCAAATACTTTCAAACATGAAAACCGATGGGAAAATGAAGGCGAAACGTCGAGTTCCAGATGTATGCATAGGCGAAGAAGAAGAGTCGAGCACCGGACCACTTTGTTTATTGTCCTCAGCTGTCAGACCGAGAATTGATTGAAGCCTGGGCCTCGGATGAGAACTCGGCCAATCGATTTATCGATCTGGCGCCGGCGTACAGAGCCCTGCGTAGTCACTTCCAGCTTTGCGCCGTCGGTCGATGATTGGCCTACATGCCTTATAACTGTCGTTTGTTCTGTTGCTGCTACTACCTCTGATGATGGACTCCTGCACGAGCCTGAAACCTCAGGACAATAAACGAAGTGTTTCGATGCTTGACTCTTCTTCACCGATGGGAAAATGCCCAAGGTGCGGGCGGCGAGTTTTCTGTGAAAGTGACTTACGCAGAATGCCCACACAAAAGTTAGCACCCCACTGTCTGAGAATAGCCTGGGATAATGTCCAACAGTAATGATGCCACAACCCAACTCAAGTAGTCGTATTTCCTTGTACGTGCAGTTATAAATGAACTTCGTAAAGTAACGTCAACGTAAGGAAGAACAAACAGCTGATTACAAACGCAAGTCAACGATGGAAACGGCCACCTCCTTTTTCGCAGAGTGACCGATCGTGAGTGACCGATGGCATGAAATTTTTGCCAAAATTCTGAAATGCGTTTCTGATTAAGAAGGGTTAACCAGGTGAGGCTGTAATACTGATTATATTGCAGCGCAATCATATAATATTTCGGACTCGGCAGTATTTTCGGCTTTTAAATGCATGTCTTTTCAATCTCCTGTGGAAGTTGTGGTCGGCAAAAAATGACTACTTATGTAGCATGCGTTCTTCCCATTGATTTTCGATGGCCTTGCAAATTCAAATACATTTTATAAGAAACGTTAGCAGAAATATGCTTTCTTTCACTCGTTTGATACTGATCCATCTAATCTTCATATGTTATACTCGAAAAAACATTATAATTAGGTTTTAAAAAGTTTTCTGATTTTGAGAATTTTTAAGACCGTGCGATGTTTATTCATACAACATCATACCTGTCCTTTTATCACTGCTCCTCATGAAATGTACAACATAGTCCGCATACATTGCAAAATTTTACGGACTTTACATGAAATCTTTTTAAAGGCATAGGAAAATATGTGATTTTCTTTACGCGGAACGTATGAAGCTTGTAGACTGCAATCACTAGGCGCTAATGCAACGGTTGATCAGGCTCCTAATTATTCGGAAATTATGAAGCTTTTTAAAAACCCAAATATAATGCTTCTTCGAGTATAAAATATGAAGATGAGGTGGTTCCCTATAAAATGAGTAGAAGAAGGCATATTTCTCTTAACGTTTCGCATAAAGTGTATTTGAATTTGCAAGGCCATCGAAAATCAATGGGAAGAACGCATGCTACCTAAGTAATCATTTTTTGCCGACCACGACATCAACAGGAGATTGAAAAGACGTGCATTTAAAAGCCGAAAATACTGCCGAGTCCGAAATATTATAGGATTACGCCGCAAGGTAATCAGTATTACATCCTCACCGGTAACTCCTTCCTAATCAAAAACACATTTCATAATTTTGGCGAACGTTTCAGGAGATCGGTCACTCACGGTTCTTGTGTCATTACATGACTGGAATGTGCTCCAGCCTAACCTGGTGCAGTATTCATCCATGATGCTGGATAATTCTGACCCTTCACAGTGACTGCTTGCCTCGGCCACTTTAAGCGACAATGTGGGCTGCACACCGCCGAAATTATGGTAGGACCCGAGCACAAGAACTCCCCTCCCGTAACAGAGGCGACTTTGCGCTTATGGTTAAGGCATGGCAATAGGTATCCTTCCTGAAATTTGGAGCAATACAAACTTTAGTATTGGGGAGTTCTTATTCCCGTGTCTTACCTACATTAGGTGTGCTAACTCATGAAATGTCAACTAAAACTCTGAAATGCGTTCTCGTTTCTAAAAGATTATCCAAGTAGGATTTTCAAGATAACCAACGTGCAGCATATTTCTATAATCACTGAATTACCACAAGATGCCGACTTTCGGACGAACTTCCTTCCGGCCGCATGCGAAAACCACACTCTGTCTAAAATGACTACTTAAGCCTCATAAATTTTTCTCATTTATTTTCGATGTTCTTAAAAATTCAATTATAATTTATGGGAAGCATGCATATAACTATTCATTCACTTACTCACTCGGTGGAAGACTACGTCTCCTCCTAATTTTATACTCAAAGGGAGGGTTTAATTCGGTTTTAGAAAAGTTTTTCACTATGAGATTTTTCAATATCGTGAAATACCCGTTCGTAAAGTATCGTGTCTTTGCATCTACTGCTGTTGCTTGTAAATTTTACATAATGGCTCAAATCTACTGACAAATGTTATGAACCCCATATGGTCTCCTCTGAGTAGCGTATAGCACTGCATGATTTTCGGTAAAGAAAAATCTACGGCCTGAAGTTTGGAAACCCAGAATGCAAGTGTAACAGCTGGTCGGGTTCAAAATTATTCGGGGATTGGAAAAACTTTTGAAAACCGCATTAGGCTCTTTCTTTTCGTATAAATTGGAAGAAGACGTAATTTTCTACCGAATGAGTAAAAGAATGAATATTTGTATGCATTTTTTCCATGAAATATAATTGGCTCCTCAAGGGCATCGAAAATCAAGGAGAAAAACTCATGCTACTTAAGTAGTCCTAAAATATTACTCAGAGTTGTTTCGTGCATGAATTACGCTCACGGGGTGGTCAGCTGATCGTCCAAATTGCCAGCCTAACAGTATATGCACCTTCGGTTGAGGCATATAGCGAAGCGAACAGTCCACCCCTGATTTATCATTCCCAGACGCAGTGCCAGTTTATTTGTCTTGTTTGATTTGCTCGGCCTGTTGACTCACGGAGTACCGCCTTGGTAGAAGTGCGACTAATGCCAGTAACCCAGTCGCCACAATAATTCAACACATTATGACAACAAAAAGGCCGTCAGTGAACGAAAGTGTCTCTCTCCGGTCTCACACGAATGCAAGCCAGCGAAACAAACGGTCTTTTTGAGAACTGAAGAGAATGCACAAGGACTCGCTGAGTGCCTGGCAGTTTCGAAGAAGACTTTACATGCCCCAGGACATACATATTTGGTCACTCTCTGCAACCGGGCAGCTGGTTTTAGCACGTTTAACTTATTCAGAGCAGAAAATTGAAACAAATTTTAAGGCTTGCTTCAGACGTTCAGACTTCATATCCTCCTGTCCATAACTTGTATGGTTCAAGATTAGTACCTCTTGGGAATTGCTCTAATTATATAAACTGTTCTCCCGGAGTACAAAAATTCAAGAACTCTGTAGACGGATTGTGATATTTTATAACAAGCTCCAATGAAAGAGGGCCTGGACCTCTTTGATTTCTGAAACGTCATTTTTACTCAAGTGGAGTAGGAGGAGGTCTATTTCAGGCGACAGCAGAGCCATACTTACACTGCGGTTAGCGTTTGTCTGAAAGCTAGTGAGAAAATCTCGAGTTTCCGCCTAATTTAATTGGCCGGGAGAAACTTTGTTGCCCGTTTATTGCCTAAAGAAATTTACAATAGCTTGCATCACGAGCCTTTATTCAAATTTAAGCTATCAGGACTTCACAAGTGTATTAAGCAAAGCTCTATCCTGAACAGAAATACCATGATTTCTAACAGGACGCAGAGTCTGCAACGTTGTGTTTGATGGAGCGTCTGTCAGAACCACTGAAGGCACAGTTTCAATTCTAAAACAAAACGTCGCGTCCTCTTTTAGTTACATAACTGTCTACTATTATGTTTCAGTACAACTATTTTATATACTCTAAGTCCGCCGATGTTTGATAGTGCACAGCCGTCTATGGTATCGGATCTATAACCCTGTAGCATCTAATAGGCAACTTTTCGGTTACTCTGACTTCCATCCAAATGTATACTGAGAACCCTTTGGGCAACCTTCCTCTGTGTTAGATGCTAAGGGAGAAAAAAGAATCGAAAAAATAAGCCATTGTCTAAGTCATTTCACATATTTTCCAGTG